TGAAAGAGAAAGGGATTGAACAAGATAAGAGTCGTCCGTGCGCGCCGAATGCTCAGGAAAGCGGTTCGAGGTAGTTACGTTCAGGCACCAAAAATGTAGTTAGAGACATCGGATCTTTTTGAAATCTTAACACAATATTTCTACATATATATACATTCAAAAAATGTAAAAAAAAAAAAAAAATTTTTTTTAAATTGCAGAGTAGAAGGTCCCCTTAAGTACATTTAGATAGAATATAATAATATAATGTGTGTGTGTAAACAATGTATATAATGTATAATGTAAATAATGCAATAGTAAACACTTTAAAGTAAACGAGTAACGATAACTGACACTTGAGATTTTGTGAATTTGTCTTTCCTATAGAAAGTTCGTGTAAGAAGGCATATATACTTTACAACTGTTGCGTATTTCTATATTTGAAGTGTGTATGCGTGTGCAAGTGTCATGTGCAAATGAAATTTTATGAGAAGTTCTCATACCTTATTTGAATTGTCTTCACTCTTTGTTTGAAGTTTAACAAGTGAAATTCTTGCATAGTTGGACCACAAAGCCACGAATAAGAATAAGATTTATTTTTAATAATAAAATCTAATCAAAGTGTTTTATATTATAAACGAAAATAATTTTATTGAAAGTAACGAAAACAAAAACGGTGGAAATAAAGTTGTACACCTAATCCATATAATTATATTACTCTATATTTTAATATTATTAATAATTATTAAGCAAACTTTAAAATAATTGACTTTAGCTACCCTTTGTTTATAATATTCTCTCAACAAAAAGAAAGGAAATAGTAGTACATTAATTAATTTTCTTTACAGCTGGCTGACTCTCCTCCTTTCATTTGAAGTACCACCGGCAACGCCCTTTATTTTCTCACCTAATCACGAAGCCGTCATACTTTGTACTACCCTCATAGTCAATAGCCGTCTACCCTTGTACTCGTGAGACGAGACTTATTTTACCCAAGGGGATGAAAGATTTTCACAAAGTGTATCTACGTGACAACGTGGATTTTCAAAACACGCATCACCCTAGCAGTAGATTTGTCCTTCAAATCCCTGCAAGATGATTTCTCCTGTGGTTTTCAATTTCAACATATTTGCTATGCCTCCAGAGTCTGTGTTGAGATTCGATATTATTCTTAACCCATTAGCTGCCACGATCCCCATTTGGGACATTTTCATAAATATAAATATTTTCAAAACGAAACATAATTTGACAATTAATTTTGTTAATATTACATATTTAAAATACATTTGATTTTTTTTTTTATATTTATTTAAGAAACGTCAAAGGTTTGTAAATGTTTCGATAAATGAAAATAATTCCAAGTGAAAAAATTACAAGATACAAAGTCATTCTCCTACTTATTATTATTAACAATTTGCAATAATCAAATACATTTTGAATATTGTCTCTTTACTTTTATTTTTATATTAAATTCGTTTTAATAATGTTTTCGTAAAATCTTAACAAAAACTATTACTTTTTACAATGGTTGTTCAAAATAAATAGAACGTTTATCAGATTCTCGATAGTAAATATGAAAGTGGGACAGTGATATGATAGGGAAAAAGTAGTGGCAGTTGTTTTAGTTCTGTCCTATCGCACCACTCGAAATTATCGTTACGAGCGTTCGTTTCGCGAAGAGATGACGTCGTTACCATTCGTCCCCGATCGTAAAAGTTATCGAACCTAGTCGCCATAGGAAGCATGGCACTGTGTTAGCAAAAGGGAAGCAACTTCGATGATCGATACTAGTAGCATAGAATGGAAGAATGAGATAGAAGTGATAGGGTATTCGGTAGAAGGCCTGTTCTGAAATAAAAGCACCGGGATACTTTCCCGGAAATTACGGTTTCCCTGTCAAGCATTTCCGATTTGACAATTTGGTCTATAAATCCTATCAAACAGAAAGTACTTTGAATTTGACTGTCTGGATTTAATTCTAACAATAATAAACCTTGGATAATTCACACATGAATTTATTGAATTGATAATAATATTGTTCATTTGTATTTTTGATAAATGATTACATTGATATAAGAATAAATTTGTTCATTGTCTAATATAAAAAAGGAATTTTGTTTAGATAAAATTGTTTGAATATTTTATTCTATCTGCATCGAACTTTTAGAAAAAGATAAATAGAAAGAGTAAGAAAGAAAAGAAAACGATAAAAATATCGTTGGAAGAAACATTAAGTGAAATTTATCGGAAGGAACAGTGGCGCAGCGGATGTATAAGTTGTTTCTAACATTCGAAGTTTGTTGACCGTGAAAGAAAATATAGACGGAAGAAGTAATCGCTTTCGAGTTTAGCGTTATTATTCCCACGCGATAAGATCTTTTTTCTTTTTTTAAGCATCCTTCGAAACTAAAAGAAGTAATGACCGTTGCCGAAGTAAAATGAAAACGGTAATTCCTCTTTTTTTGTTTTTTTTTTTTTTAATCTTCTACATTTCCGAATCTTTTTATTTGTTGAATTATCGAGACGTGTCGCAGTATTGGATTTTTAAAATGAACATGTTTTTCCAACATCTAACTCCATTGAAATGGCGGCAGTCTCTATCTATACATATATACAAGCAGCCACAAGTTTTATATTCTCTCTTTCTCTCTCTCTCTTTATCTTTATCTTCTTTTCTCTTTTTATTAGTGACCAATAAACGTAAAACTGGTATCCTCTTATCCTCGTAAAGTATCACGCGCGAATGTGTTTTATTGTATAGTCATCCCTTTGATATCTCTTGTCATAAATGATTTACAATCGATATATATATATATATATATATATATATATATATATTTGTAATCCATTAACGACCCCAAGAGAACTTTTGCGAGCGTGTAAATGTATTAAAATAAAATTCATTGATAACGTTGTTAAATTTTTTATTATTTCAGTTTATTTCATTCTTTTTATTATTGTTTTTTTTTCTTCTCTTAAGCCCCGTTCGTATCGACATTTCACGAAATAATTTTTAGAACTAGATGAAATTCTTAAAACTCGTTTTCTTTCAATTTTGATATTAGCAGAATTTGAAATGAGTTTAATGTCATAGTTTGATCATATTCGTGTTTTACAAAAATGATCGTCACTTGATTTTTGACAAACTTACATGCCTCAGTGATATTGAGAAATTCTTTTATAAATCAGTTTACGTATGAGCAAGTTTGAAAATATAGTACTCGATCTTGAATTTTACTGGAAATCGACTAGGCTATGCATGCGATACGTATGCAAGAACGAACCCGAATCGAAGCCTGAAAATGCGCTTTCCGGAGATATCCAATCGCATAAATACAAATCGATAAGGCCGTAGGAGAATTTTTTTTTTTTTGAGAAGATATTTTTGCGATTGTTCTCTTTTTCCATGTTTATCGAATTTTCAAAATTATCTATGCGAATATCTGTTAACTATTGGTCTCTACTTTTCCAAAAAAAGCTATCCGAGTATCAACAAATAAATACGAACATCTAAGGAGTCTAAAAGTCATTTTAAAAAAATGTATTTGCACAACAAAAGATTAATGTCTTTGTATCATTTAATTACTATGAAAATAAAATTAGTATTTTTATTTACTTTAAAAAAAAAAAAACAGCTTGTAACATTTTAATCAATGTAATTTTTTTTTGTATTTACAGCTCGTGGGCGGAGAGTTCGACATGGAGTTGAACTTCGTGATACAAGATGCGCAGAACATCAGGCACATGTTAGAACTTCTGGATCACTGCCCACCTAATCTCCAGGTATATTATACCTTTCATCGTTTAATTTGAACCTTACGTAAACTCGATCAAATCCCATCGCTCACTATTACATCGAAGTTTTAAATGGCTTTTGCGGACGTATTACAACTATCGTTTCGAGTCATTTATTATGCACGGCCATTGGGAATTCTCTATGTTTTTGTTATCCTGAAAAGTTTAATGAACGAATATCTGAGAAACTTAACGAAATATCAGGAAAATGATTGATGATCTAATTGATTACTAATGTTCAAAATTATACAAGTTCAATTCAATTGAAAATTAACCATTTTAATACGAGTTCATTGAATCGTTTGTTTACAAATATTCGGTATTTCGTTTTATCGATTAAATGCGTGCGTTTTTTCTTTTTATTTCTCTCTGTGTTTATTAAAAAATTAAAAACACATATGCGAGAGTTTTTTTTCCGAGTAAATGTTCATGTCAATATATATATATTGAAGAACGAAACAAAGGAAGTAAATAATGGGAAAGCAAAAAAGTATCGATTATACTTAATCGAGTTGTACCTACCTCTTGTTTTCCTTTCTTCGTGTAATTATTTCCACGAGGGAAAACAATTTTTCATAAATACTGTGAAAGTTCAGTGAAATCCAGACGATATTAGTTTAATATTTTTATAGTATAGAAAGAGTTTGATCGGAAACAAAAAAAAACAAAAATGTGCGAAAATGAAAAAATATTTTTTTTTTGTTGCTGTTGTTGGAACGTAGCGATGGTATGAAAAATTTCAAGAATGGTTCTTTAATCATAACTTTTAAAGCGTAAAAAGCTTTGTACGATTATTTCACCCGCCTACGTATGAATTTTGTCGGTCCTTTCGAATCTTCTGGTAAACAAAAAATTTGTTATTTATATGTCTCTTACTTTTCGTTTCATGCGTTTTTTAGTTTTTTTTTTTATTATTATTTCGAAATATTTCAAAATGTTTGATATTTTCCTCGTATTATTTTGTAATCATCGTTCAAATTCTAAATCAAATAACACAAGGTAATTTTTGTCCGCTCAAAGATTATACTTGTAACATTAAAAAATTCCATCTCTTCGTGACAAGTATACTCGTCACACAGTTATCAGCTTTTTACATTTTGGCTTGGAAAAACTGGAACTTAGCCAACACCTTCTTCGAAGGATTCGCGAAATCTTTGTTTTCTTTGCAAGTTTTATGCATGAAGTCGCATCATCCGTGCTCGCGTATGTACACTGTTTTATCTTTCCCACAGTTATTTTTTCGTACAACGAAATTTCTCTATTTTTTGTACATAAAAATAAAAAAGTAAAATTAATTTGAATTTATTTTATAAAAAAAAAGGGTCGAGATATTTTATTCACTTTTTTCCCCGAGCCATTAATAAATTAATCGATAAAAAACAAAAAGGGGGAGATAGGTACTTAATAATATTTTCTCTGGTGTTATTACCACAGTATAATACACATGTATAAGTATATACATAACATTGATATAAAAGTAAATTGAAGGTAGGGTGTCCGAAGGGATTTGAAAGTAGATGCGAGTTATATCTTCCACCTCGATTCGTAGTGATGTTACCAGTACGCAAAATCGCTCGTGTCGTTGACATGGTAATCGAAAACGAGATCTGAAATTCCTTTGTAAGAGAATAAATTGGATGGCGCCGGCGTTGCTAGTTCTGCCCAAGCCAAGCACAAGCATTGGTCGTCGCCATCCTATGGCGAGAGGAAAAAGGTGAGTTATTGAAAATACAATATGCTCGTGGAAACCTTTTCTCCATTGGGATGCATATATATATATATATAAATTTAAAAAGAGAAAAAATATATACGTGTAACATTGATACCCTATGCGAAACAAGAAAAAGGAATAGGAAAAAACAACTTCTTATAAATTACACTCTAAATAAGTATGCATATATGTATATATGTATATTGAGATAAGAGAAAAAAAATTTGTTACAATAACACACTAATATAAATTTGATAATGATAACGATAATGATAATGATAAAATTTGTTAATAATTTTATTTATAATCTTACAATTTGGTAACATTATATTATTATAGAAAGAATTTTATATTGTTAGTAGAAAATATTGTATGGTAATATGAAAGAGTACATTTTCTTGAAAATTGGCTATTAAAGTTAATCAAGCGTGAATATTCTTATGTGATAGATACATGTCTATAAAATATCTATAAAATCGATCTTTTTATATCGACACTGTATAGATAAATAGAGGACATGTTTAACTCTATAACGATTGTGGTTTCACGTTTCTTTGATTTTCTATTGTGAAGATTTAATGTTTGGAAAGTTATTCAAAATTTTAAAAACATATGGTATTAAGCGTAGTAAATAATAAAGAATTATGAATTCCATAGTTGTAGTATAAATTCTAGGAATATATGTAGGTCATTGTGTTAATACTCCTTTTTAATAAAATTATTTAGATCAGTGGGTCATATAAATATCTTTTATTTTTATGAAGAAATCTTCAGAGAATTAAGATTCACAGAGATTTCGAACAAACACAATTTCAAAGGATAATTTTTTTTGCATATTTTTTCAATCTACTATTAATCATTAATTCGATATTTATTATAAACAATTTTTCAGACTACTTAAAGCAAATATTTGTCTATTTTGTAGTTCATCAATAAAAATTATTTGGAACTTCGTTATAAACAATGTCAATAAAAATATAAAGTGTTAGAAATGATTTTTGAAATGAAGATTTTTAATTAAATAAATAATCGAACGATTCATCGAAGTTTCAAGAAACGAAATCGAAAGATTACGTTTTAGTTTTTTCATCTGTATGTTCTTCATAAACGATCAAGAGTTTTTACCTGTTATGGGGTTTTGGTATCGCGTAGAGAATCGCTTCGACATAGTCTTCATAAATACCAATAGCACGTTATGAGTAATAGTTCGATGTTACGCTCGTAACAAAGAAAGGAATGTCGGTGTAGAAAGGAAAAAAAAAAGGTATCAGGCTTCCAGGCGAATCTGCTCTCGAATAGAAAAAAAGAAGAGACAAAAATAGAAGAGAGAGAGAGAGAGAGAAAGAGACACTCTGGATTCCGTGTTATCGAGTTCCCATTTATCAAGCGCCCTTTTAAAAAAAAAAGAACGAAAGAAAACATAGAGTACATACACGCGGGAGCTCGCTATACCTACGAAAAAAAAAGAACGATACGAGCATGCTCATCCTTTCGCGCTCTTTGTCGAGAAGTGTATTGATTTTGCGCAAAACTAAAAAAGTTCTTGCTCAAAAAGGTGAATGGGTTATAATAGAGAGAAAGAGAAAAAGAAGTCAATCAAGGAGTTTCGATGTAACATTAAGGAGACTACAGAATCTTTTACATCGATTTTTATTTTGTTCCAAATTTTCATATTTGTAAAGTCCTACTTTCTTCAAAATTCGTATAATATTACAAAAAATTATTATTTGTTATATTTCAAATACGTTTGAGAGATCAAAAATTGATATACCATAGGTTATTTTGTAAAAGGCAATAAAATAGAAAGGGAAGACGTTACTTTTGACAAATAACAGATCATTTAGAAACGAAACGTATTCTTCCTCGATCGACTAACAATACTTTAAAGTATGCAAATGAAGACTATTTTCTCGATCTAGTAATCTTCTCTCTCCTATCCCTCCTCTCTCTCTCCCCCACCCCCTCCATACTTTACCATCGTGAAATTAAATGTAAAGCATTAAATCAGCCCGTCGTCGAACCGCCGTAATGCAATTAAGCAAAAGGAAGGTTCCTGGAGATACATTAATTCTGCCTCGTGAATTATGCTCTGTCGAGCGCAATGCGCATTTCATTTGCGCCAACGACAAATTAATAGCGAGAGGTTCAGTTGCACGCGCGATGTTCTCCTCCCAGTTTAAAACGCTTCGTTGATTTACAAACGCAAAGAGACTCAACGGACGGTACTAACCGACACCTTCCCTCCGTTAATTTCAACTTATCTGATAATTATCACGATATATATCTCCCTCTCTCTCTCATCCTCTTACTATTTTCTACCTGCTAACGTCGTTATATTTGATATTTCAATTGAACGTTATTAATTTATTAATTATGATTGTTTTTTCTATTTATTTTTTATTCCATAAAATGGAAGATCTAAAAAGTAATAGGCTTCGAATTTGTTCGAGCATTAATTCTGTTACATAAACTTTATTGCAAATGTATTCGAGATACACGATGTCTTGTTTTTACGTTGCGTATTCAAGAAGTTTATTACTTTCCTATCCGAAATTCCTTTTATGTAATATGAATGTACTAATAAAAGGAGTTATACTCTCGCAAAAACAAATCGAACGCTATATAACTCTTTAAATAATTCAAACTCGTTTTGTATAATTTACCTGTTAGAATTTCTCGTACTATGAACACATAACATTCAGAAGAAACAAATATAAATTTTTTTTTTCAAATTACGATGATTTATATAATTGATAAATTCATATCGTTTATGGTTTACCAAGTGGATCTTGTTTGTCGAATTAAACTATTGAATTCATCCTAACGATAATATTCGACTAAAATTGAATGTCAAACTCATGTAACATTGTCGATGATAATAATAATAATAATAATAATAATAATAATAATAATAATAATAATAATAATAATAATAATAATAAATGGTAAACAGTAAACAGTTGGTTAATAATTATTATTGTTTTTCTTTAAAAATGTTGACAGCATAACTCTCTCTCTCTCTCTCTCTCTCTGTCTCTCTTTCATGGGTCTAACACTGTAACATGTGCTTCTAATTTTCATCGTTGGATCATAATTACGTTTCAAGCTTGTGTTACGAAACGGTTAGGCGAGCATATAGAGAGTATAGTTCGCGTTCGCTCGTTTCTATGTACAGCAGCGAGTGGTAGGCGAGTACGCGCTCAGGTATGAATATCTTGGATTATTAGCCGACTCGGAATATTAATCCCGGTTAACGGCAAGTGCCACGATAATGCTG